TCTCTGTATATGATTAGTCACTCAATAAACTTAATTTTTATTAATTGCTGTGTTGTTTGTAAGCTCGGATTTCCCCGAATACTGGCACCGACGAGTTAATCCGCGAAAGATCGGGAAAGATATATCGTTACATCCATAACATTGATCTGCTTACTGCTTAAGTTTTATTGCTTAAGTTTTTGTTTGTGTACATTATGACGAATTATTACGTGAAGTTTAATGTCAATCTAATATTATAAAATATCAATCAAAACATCGAACTATCAACGATGTTGAATAAAGTGCATCATAAGCTGTCGGTAAGTTTTTCATGTTTGTATGACAAATTTATAGAAAAAAATTAATATTATTATTGTGATTAATTTTAAAAAATAGATTAAATATGTAAAATTAATAAACCAGACTTAAAAAAGATTTCAGTTATTTATCCAATTTTAATGTATTTATTTATACATAATAAATAAAAGTAAATCAATAAATAATAATAAATAATAATAGTAATTAATAATATATGAATAATAATAATTAATAATAATTATAAATAATAAAAATTGATTGAAAATAATAAAATTGATTAATTGAGTGCTATTATTTATTATTGTGATGATATTAAAATGATATTTATACAGGAGTTATTCGAAATGGCCACCATGGCACTCAATACACAATTGAACGTGTCGAAGAAAATTTCTTGTAGCGTTCACAATCATATCAGGCGTTATGGTAGCAATAGCTATCATTTTATCTTCTAGTTCTGTGAGATCATCAATCCATTCTTTATACTATATATTCTTTTATTTTACATCGATGTAAAAATTTTCGTTCAACGTCTGCTGAACAATACGCGAGTTACAATGGCGCTCCGTCTTGTTGAATACGTTTAACGGTACATTTTCTAATAATTCTAGCAAATTATGAATTAAAAAATTATTGTACATGGCGCTATTAAGTTTTACAGGCATTTTGAAAGGTCCTACAATTTGATTGAAAGCGTTATTTGTATTGATTTTTATCATACATAGTTTGATTTAAAACCATACAATATGAGTATCATATAGTATAATAAATTAACTTACTATTGAATTATACCAGCTCACAGATTTTTACTAAAACGATGTTGATAACTTCGAACGACATATTCATCAGGATTTTCGTTGCTTTGAATGTGAAAATGAATATTAAATACACCTTCATGTGTAAAACAAGATTCATCAGTAAACAAAATTATTTGTACAAAGCCGTGTTTTGTTTTACACGTTGCATGCTGGACATCACAATTCACACTCGCGTCGTTACAGAGTGAATTTTGGATCCTTCGCTCGCGCGCTACCGTTCGTTCCGTTTTATATAAATGCATGTGCACGCGAAAGAGCCGCAATGCCTGTCGAACAGATGACTGATCTATCGGATGTTCGAATTAATCGCACAATTCGAGCCTTCATACATGCCGGCATTGATTATGCAGGATCGATCATGATCCGAACTGCTCCAGGCCGAGGTTACAAGTCGCAGAACATTGCATATGTTTAACAACCAAGACCATTCACTTGAAACTTGTTAGCAATTATAGTTCATCTGCTTTTCTCGCCGCGTATTACCGTTTTGTTTTCTGCCGAGGGTGACCGCGCTCAATGTATTCGGACAACGGAACTATTTTTCAAGATGTGGAGAATTGTTCGAGGCGTATAGCAAGGCAGTTCGCGATCCAAACTTTCTAAATCGTCTCGATTGATAGGATGGCGTGGCATTTTTTACTTCCTGCAGCACCGCATTTCGGCGGCCTGTGGAAAGCGGTATTCGTAGTATAAAACATTATCTCAAACGATGTATCGGCCTTCATACACATTTGAGGAAATCCCCACGTGGAAATGTCCACGCCGCTCTGTCGTGTCGAGGCTTCGTTTAATTCTCGTCCAATCGCTGCCGTTTTCCGAAAATCTCGACGAGCGTTAACTCCCGGTCATTTTCTTTGGAGCTCCTCTTATTGCCTCTCCCGAACCTAACGTGCTTGAATTGAACGAAAACAGATTATCGCGATGGCAATTAATCCAGCGTCTAATTGAAGGTCTTTGGAAGTCCTGGTCAAGCGACTACTTGCATACCCTTCAGCAACGCCCAAAATTGCGTACCGTACAATGACTGACCAAAATTGACCGAATCGTCCTGCTGCGTAATCTGTTGGCTCCACCGGAGTCATTGCTCGGTCGCATTATCGCTTGCCATCCTGAAGATGACGGGCTAACCCGTGTGGTGACTGTTAAGACCAGCCGATCTGAACGTTCAATTATAAAATTGTGCTTTTTTCCCGTGGATATCGACGTAAAAGATTCAAAAGTTTCCGTCATGGCGAGCAGAAGTGCTCCATAACTTAGATATATTGTGTTTTGTAGCCTCCGAGTCAAATCAATTTATCGATGTATCACATTCATATTATAGTATATCATGCCTAATTGTCGTATTAAAACTATTGTAAAATTATACTACTGTTATTGTTTTATTAAAAACAATAACAATTCGAGGCGGGCGATATGTTTAGGAATAGAATAATTTAAATTGAAATTGCCGTAGATTCTTTATATTTATCTCGCGGATCGCTCGCTACACGTTCGAATTAGGTATACATCACGCGTATCTGGCTTGAGGTACACGCGGTTAACACATGCTCCGTAGAATTCACGACATGGCGCATCTCTACGATCCTCGAAATTAGGACGAGTGGACATTGTTCGTCG